ATTTGATCTTCTGAAGTGGGTCTGGCCCACGAAAGCTCATCATCTAATAAACCATCTTGTTAGTCTTTAAAGTGCCACATTGTCCTGCACTTTGCTTCAACTACCCCAGACTAACACGGCTACATTTCTATCACTATCACAATTAATGTGAGCCATATGGCTAATTCCCCTAGCTAAATTCTCAACATACTTATTACAAGATTTACCTGGCACTGCTCAGATCTTTAACTCAATTTTTGGTTAAAAAAATTCATTTAAACCATTGCTCTGGGGTGGGGCTATAAATGAGGGGTTCTGCCCCGGGGAGAAAGGATCACCTCAGCTTCCTGTCACTAGAGCATCTTGGAGCTGGGTGCTTTCCATGGCTGCTACAGCTCCAGCGGGCACAGCCAGGGAGGGGTGCATGTTCCCTGGCTGGGACAGGACCAGGTTCATTTGTTCCCTGCACTCTCCAACCAAAGGGAGGAATGCAGCAAACTGTGCACTCTCCTCTCCCCCAGTGAAGAGGAACAGCCAGCAATGCTTACTTCTGAACTAGGGGAGGGAGAGCTTCAGCCCCCCTCCCTTCTCTCCGGCTCCTTTATACCCCAGATTGGGCAGATCACGGTTCACCTTTTCCCTGAGCTCCCTACCAGAGAGAGGAATGCAGTTTCCCCTCACTCCCTGACAAAGGGGAACAGCCGGCAATGTTCCTGTATGAATCCGGAGAAGTGAGCTTGAGTCCCGCCTGTCCTCCCCAAAGGGTTCCTGAGGATGGAAGGCTCGGGGATGGGGCAGTCTTGGATGGGGGGTGCCCCTAGCCAGCCCCTTTCACCTGGCTGGTGATTCTCTCTCTTTTCTGTATAACTTTATAAGAAGCAACCCCTTCCTGGGCACAGACAGAAACACAAACTCGCTCTCTGAAATATATCATAGATAGCTTTCCCTTTACCACTACTGACCCCTGCTGCCCTAGTGGGGTTATAGCTGTCCAGCTCCCATCTCAACTGTCCCTGCTACCAGAGCTCTCCCTTTCCCTTGTATGAGAAACAGCCAAACCGCGACCTTCAGTTAAGTCGTGATAAGAGGAAGCTGCATCTCAAATGTGGTGGTCCTAGCTCTTAGTTTAAGAGGAATTCCTGAACAAACAGATGGATGGATGGACAGACAGACTCACGGACAAACTCTCGCAAATATATAGTAGACTTGTACTGCGGTGGCACATAGCAACCTCTCTCACTGTGCCAGATTCCTTGGGGTAAGACACCCAAACCAATGTCAGTTTCCTGTGGTTCCCTTCCTAGGTGAATGCCCAGCGGTCCCGCCTCCCCATCTCTCTGCTTGAGGGGAAACTGAAGGTGTATCAGAGCGGGCGCTCTGTGGTCATCCAGACCGACTTCTCCCTGAGGGTCTCCTACGACTGGGGCAGCTCCCTGGTGGTGAAGCTCTCCAGCAGCTTCTCAGAGAATGTGTGTGGCCTCTGTGGCAACTACAACGGGGACCCTGGGGATGACTTCACCACCTCGGCCGGGGTGCTGGCTGCCAGCCCTGTAGAGTTCGGGAGGAGCTGGAAGGTGGAGGACGGGGACAGGTTCTGCTGGGACGACTGCCATGGGCAGTGCAAGAGCTGTTCCCCGGAGCAGGTCGGCAGGTACAAAGCGGAGCCTTTCTGTGGCTGGATCACCAAAGGGGCGGGCGGCCCCTTCAGCCGATGCCACTCCATGATCGACCCCAAAATCTACCTGGACAACTGTGTCTATGACCTGTGCATGAACGACGGGCGGAAGGAGATGCTGTGCCAGGCGCTGACGACCTACGCCGATGCCTGCCAGGCCAAGGGCGCAGCCGTCTCCGACTGGAGGAGCCTCTCAGGATGCAGTAAGTACATGCAGGGTGACAAAGAGCTAAAGACAGTAGGTTTTAGTAGAAGAGTTTGAGGTCAGTATTGAAACTGGAACAGGTCCACAAAAGGCATAAAGACATTTGTAGAACTGAGTGAAACTATCCTGAGGGCTCTGAGGTACCATGTTGTCTGTGGCAGGACTGCACAGCTAAATGTGCAAGGGCCTTTGGAATGTCAGAGTCAGAACTGATCTCACCTTCCCAAATGGCAGTGGTCCCAAGCAGGCATCTGTTGTGTAGCTTTTTCTCTTTTTAATACTTGTGCTGTTTGTTGGACACCAGCAAACAAACAACAATGTGAAGTTAGTTTCTTTGCTAGTGGAGACCAGCATGACTTCTTTGACTTCAGCAGAAGTTATGTCCCCAAGCTTCCCTGTTGCAGGGATTTTAAAAATAGACCATGGAAATAACTGAAGAGACAGGTGGACTGAATAAGAAAACAGTCAGACTCTGCATAGCTTGGCAATGTCTAGATCAGAAACATTTGCTGGTATAATCAAGGACATCAGGACTTTGAAACATCCCTAATGTAGGCACAGTTATACCAGCAAACACGGGAACACAAGACTGGAAAGGACCTCCTGGGTCATCGCATCCAGTCCCTCCTCTTGCAGCTACCCCACCGTACAGTCCCATCCATAAAGTTATCAGACTCCATCTTCAAATTAGTTAGGTTCTTTACTCAGCTGCTCCTATTTCAATTTCTTCCGACACTCACAGCCAGGTTAGCCTCCTTTGTTGTTATGCCGATGTATCACTTTCCTTTAAATGCTTCTTTTCTCTCATCTATGCATTTATGGAGAGCGATCACATCCCCTCCAGTTGCTACATTAAATGAGCCAAGCTCTTTTAGTCTACCCTTCTTACAGCAGGCTCTCCGTTCCCCTGCCATCCTATGAGCCCCTCTCTGCTCCTGCCCCAGGCTGAGTTGATCTTTCTTGAACATGGGTGACCCCAGCTGGACACAGCAAAGCCCTTTTGCCATCACAGCTTAACGCACTGGGGAAATGGCGGGTGCTAGATCCACATAGGAACTCATTTGCTGGTATGAGCAGTGTCCCACGCGGCGTTTGCTGCTATAGCTCTATGCCTTGAGCATGCAGAGCAGGCAGAAGCAGTGGACAGAGAAGCCGCTCAGAAGTTCAGAGGTGAGACGCAGGGTGGGAATGTTCACACGAGTCCCAGTGACGTGTAACGGGAGATGGTGAAGGGAAAGGAAAATGATGAGGTCTGTCAGCCTGCAGAATCACCTTCTCCGGTGGAGGGGCGGAGCCCCATTTCCTCTGTCTTGTAAAGGGAGATTGGGCCAAGCCCTGGATCGGGGCTGTGACATCCCCTGTTCTATGGGTCAGAGCTCTCTGCAGATCCAGGAATACCGCAAGAGGCTGCTCTGATGCAGAATTTCCTACTGCCTCCCAGACCTGTACCAAATGGTTTCATGCTACTAGGGAGCACTATTCCCAGTGACCTCAGTGTCCTTCTGTCCTTCTGACAGCTCTGCCCTGCCCTGAGAACAGCCAGTATAATGCTTGTGGCTCTGCGTGTCCTGCCACCTGCAATGACCGAGTGGCCCCTAAGAACTGCTCCCTGCCCTGCGTGGAGACCTGCCAGTGCCACGAGGGTTTCGTGCTGGATGCTGAGAGGTGCATCCTCCAGACCGGATGTGGGTGTGAGTTTGAGGGCCGCCTCTACGCGCCCGGGGAGCAGTTCTGGGGAGATGGTGCCTGCACGAGACGCTGTGTCTGTGACCCGCAAACCAGGCGGGCGAGCTGCCAGGTCGCAGGGTGCCGGGCCGGGGAGCAGTGCCAGGTGCAGAACGGCATCCGGGACTGCTACCCCACAAGCTATGGAACCTGCTCAGCTTCGGGGGACCCCCACTACATCAGCTTTGATGGGAAGAAGTTTGACTTCCAGGGCACCTGCCTGTATCAGTTCGCTGGGCTGTGCAACAAAAGCCAGGACCTGGTGGATTTCCAGGTCCTTGTTCAGAACGACCATCGGGGAAGCCGCGTCGTGTCCTTCACCAAAGTCGTGCAAGTCAAAATCTATGAGGTCGACATTGTGATCAGCAGGGAAAACCCCGGCAGAGTCCTGGTGAGTTTATCAAACCATTCTTCCCTTTCCTGGTTGGTCTTCAGACCTGTCTTCCTTTGCCATGTTCAGTCACCGTGCCCTTTTTTCTCTTCTGCGTTCAATCATCATTCTTTTCTTCTTCCCTGAGTTTGCTCATTTTACCTTTTCCTCTCCCCCAGGGCTCTAGGATTAGACATTTAATTGAACTGCATTTTCACACACTCGGGAGAACATTGAGTGCAAAATAAGGGATGTTTACCTCTGGGGTCTTGTTTCAAATATTTTGTTCTGATTTAGACACATACTCATTATTCTTAGATCCTGATTTTCATAGACTCATAGACTTTAAGGTCAGAAGGGACCATTATGATCATCTAGTCTGACCCCCTGCACAGTGCAGGCCACAGAATCTCGCCCACCCCTCTTAGAATAATCCTCTCACCTATGTCTCAGATATTGAAGCCTTCCAATACTTTGAAGGCCCCAACATGCAGAGAGTCCTTCAGCTGTGATCTGTGCCCAATGCTACAGAGGAAGGCGAAAAACCTCCAGGGCCTCTGCCAATCTACCCTGGAGGAAAATTCCTTCCTGACCCCAAATATGGCGATCAGCTAAACCCTGAGCATGTGGGCAAGACTCACCAGCCAGACACCCAGAAAGTTCCCTATAGCAACTCCTATCATCCCTCCATTGACCTATTTCCAACTGGAAATGAATGGTCAATTAGTTACCAAGATCATGTTATTTCATCCAACCATCCCCTTATCATAGAATCAGAACTGGAAGAGACCTCAGAAGGTCGTCAAGTCCAGCCCTCCGCTCTAGGCAGGACCAATCCCATCTAAATCAACCCGGCCAGGGCTTTGTCAAGCCGAGACTTAAACACCTCTAGGGATGGAGACTCCACTACTTCCCTAGGTAACCCATTCCAATGCTTCACTACCCTCCTAGTAAAATAGTTTTTCCTAATATCCAATCTGGACCTCTCCCACCACAACTTGAGACCATTGCTCCTTGTTCTGCCATCTGTCACTACTGAGAACAGCCTCTCTCCATCCTCTTTGGAACCTCCCTTCAGGAAGTTGAAGGCTGCTATCAAGTCCCCCCTCACTCTTCGCTTCTGCAGACTAAACAGACCCAAGTCCCTCAGCCTCTCCTCGTAGGTCATATGCTCCAGACCCCTAATCATTTTGGTTGCCCTCCGCTGGACCCTCTCCAATGCGTCCGCATCCTTTTTGTAGTGGGGGGCCCAGAACTGGACACAGTACTCCAGATGTGGCCTCACCAAAGCCGAATAAAGGGGAATAATGACATCTCTGGATCTGCTGGCAATGCTCCTCTTAATGCATCCTAATATGCCATTAGCCTTCTTGGCTACAAGGGCACACTGTTGACTCATATCTAGCTTCTCATCCACTGTAACCCCCAGGTCCTTTTCTGCAGAACTACTACTTAACTGGTTGGTCCCCAGCCTGTAACTATGCTTGGGATTCTTCCGTCCCAAGTGCAGGACTCTACACTTGTCTTTGTTGAATCTCATGAGATTTCTAGTGGCCCAATCCTCCAATTTGTCTAAGTCACTCTGGACCCTATCTCTGCCCTTAAGCGTATCTACCTCTCCCCCTAGCTTAGTGTCATCTGCAAACTTGCTGAGGGTGCAATCTATCCCCTCATCCAGGTCATTAATAAAGATATTGAACAAAACCGGTCCTAGAACCGAACCTTGGGGCACTCCACTAGAAACCGACCTCCATCCTGACATCGAACCGTTGATCACTACCCGCTGGGCCCGGCCTTCTAGCCATCTTTCTATCCATCTTACCGTCCATTTATCCAATCCGCATTCCCTTAACTTGCTGGCAAGAATATTGTGGGAGACCGTATCAAAAGCCTTGCTAAAGTCAAGGTATATAACATCCACTGACTTTCCCATGTCCACTGAGCCAGTTACCTCATCATAGAAGCTAATCAGATTGGTCAAGCACGACTTGCCCTTTGTGAATCCATGCTGACTATTCCTGATCACTTTCCTCTCATTCAAGTGTCTCAAAATGGACTCCTTTATGATCCCTTCCATGATTTTTCCAGGAACCGAGGTAAGACTGACCGGCCTATAGTTCCCTGGATCGTCCTTCTTCCCTTTTTTGAAGATGGGCACTACATTTGCCTTTTTCCAATCATCCGGGATTTCGCCCGATCTCCACGACTTTTCAAAGATAATGGCCAAAGGCTCCTCAATGACATTTGCCAACTCCTTCAGTACCCTTGGGTGCATTAAGTCTGGACCCATGGATTTGTGTACGTTTAGTTTTTCTAAATAGTTCCTAACCTGTTCTTTACCCACCAAGGGCTGTCCATCTTCTTCCCATCTTGCGTCGCTTAGCACAGAAGTCCAGGAGCCGACCTTGTCCGTGAATACAGAGGCAAAGAAAGCATTGAGTACTTCAGCTTTCCCCACATCCTCTGTCACTAGGTTACCTCCTTCATCCATTAGGGACTGCACACCCTCTCTGATCACCTTCTTCTTGTTGACATGCCTGTAGAAACCTTTCTTGTTATCCTTCACATCCTTAGCCAGTCGCAACTCCATTTGCGCTTTCGCCTTCCTGATAACCCCCCGGCATTCTCGAACTATACATTTAAGCTCCTCCCTAGTCATTTGTCCAAGTTTCCACTTTCTGTAAGCTTCCTTTTTTGTGCTTCATAATAAAGTCAAAAGCCTAATGGAGATTTGGACTTTAGCTGGCTGAGAATGTTCATACAAAAGCTTTTTTTGTTAAGAATTCAGTTCAGTTACACCAAAATATTTGGCAAATTTGTGTTCATTTAACCACATAGTTTCCATTGGAAAGAAATCCTAAAAATAACTCCCAAACAATCAAATGGTCCATTTTTACATTTAAAAATAATTTTGAAATGACTTTTAATTTCAACATTAAATGTTTAAAACTATCAAAATTGTAAATTGTACATGTATGTTTCACCTAGTATCTACGTGTACACAAACAGGTCTCTTCCTCAGTTCCTCCAGTTCAGATGTAATTTATGTAGATAATCAGCGGAACCTTATTTTCTTACTTCCCACTTTGCTGTTACACAAATAAGTCCTTGCCTGTGTACATTGGCATGGCAAGCAGAGCAAAGGGAAGTGTGGAATGGGTGCCTCACAGACAGTTTATCCATTTCCAAATTTGGAATGATCTGAGGAAGTGGGTCTGGCCCACGAAAGCTCATCATCTAATAAACCATCTTGTTAGTCTTTAAAGTGCTACATAGTTCTGCATTTTGTTTCAGCTACACCAGACTAACACGGCTACATTTCTATCACTATATTTTAATATGTTCAAGTTATAGAATTATAGAAGACTGGAACTGGAAGGGACCTCGAGAGGTCATCAAGTCCGGTCACCTGCCCTCACAGCAGGACCCAGTACTGTCTAGACCATCCCTGATAGATGTCTATCTATCCTGCTCTTAAATATCTCCAGAGATAGAGTCCACAACTTCCCTAGGCAATTTATTCCAGTGTGTAACCACCCTGAAAGTTAGGAAGTTTTTCCTAATATACAACATAAACCTCCCTTGCTGCAATTTAAGCCCATTGTTTCTTGTCCTATCCTCAGAGGCCAAAGAGAACAATATTTCTCCCTTCTCCTTGTGACACCCTTTTAGATACCTGAAAACTGCTATCATGTCCCCTCTCCGTCTTCTCCTTTCCAAACTATACAAGCCCAGTTCTTCAGTCTTCTCTCATAGCTCATGTTTTCTAGACCTTTAATCATTCTTGTTGCTCTTCTCTGGACCTTCTCCAATTTCTCCACACCTTTCTTGAAATGTGGTGCTCAGCACTGGCCACAATACTCCAACTGAGGCCTAATCAGTGCAGAGTAGAGCAGAAGAATGACTTCTTGTGACTTGTTCACAACATTCCTGTTAATACATTCCAGAATCATGTTTGTTTTTTTTGCAACAGCAACACACTGTTGACTCATATTTAGATTTTGGTCCACTATGACCCTTAGATCCCTTTCTGCAGTACTCCTTCCTAGAAAGTCACTTCCCATTCTGTATGTGTGAAACTGATTGTTCCTTCCTAAGTGGAGTACTCTGCATTTGTCCTTAGTAAGGAAAACAGAAAATGTTCAGCAAACTCATATTTTTCTGCTAGCAAATTTTCAGAAGCTGCATTTTCAGCTGCAAAAATAATTCTTCTGGACAATCCTAACCAACATGAATTGAAAATTATTTCTCCCAAGATTCATTCGCTTAATTCTTTTTCTGAGCTTATATGTATTTTCTCTTTTTGAAGTTAGTTCCCATAATTTTCTTACTTTGACATTGTCATTGTAACTCTATCTTTTATTCTTCTGTCTTCAGTCATTGGTTATTGTACATCGGATTTATATGGAAGGAGGTTTCTATTTGCAATTTTAATAGATTACCTGATGATAAACAGGTGGAATATTTTTGTGATTCAGAAAGTTTCCTAAATTGAAAAAAATTGGTTTTGAAATTGATAAAATAATATTTTTGAAAACTACTTACTCTGCTAAAGGGAAACTGAAACATAATTAATCAGGTTTTATTAAAAAAGTATAAAAATGAACAAAAAAAATTAATTCAAAATCCACGACTTGGATTTTGCTTACAATCACTGTATCTAACTATTGTGCTTTCAAAGTTCCTTGCTCAGTGTCAAACAGTTCTCACTGACCCATTGGCCCCTACTCCCAGGTGAATGGCGTGCTGACCAACCTACCGTACAGCCACAAGAGCAGCAAGATCTCCATGTACCGGAGGGGGCAGGAAGCAGTGATCCAGAGCGACTTCGGTCTCACAGTCACCTTTGACTGGCAGAGCCGGATCACCGTCTCTGCGCCAAGCAGCTACGCCGGCGCCCTGTGCGGACTCTGCGGGAACTTGAATGGGGACAAGGGAGATGACTTGACCATGAAGGGCGGCAGGTTGGCCCCAAACCCAACGGCCTTTGGGCAGAGCTGGAAGGTGGCGGATATCCCAGGCTGTGTGGAGGTTGCCAAGGACGAGTGCTCAGATCTAGCAGCTGTGGAGAGACGCCAACGAGGAGTAAGTCAGGAGTGCGGGCTCCTCCTAGACAAGAGCGGCCCCTTCCGAGAGTGTCACAGCAAAGTCGACCCGCAGGGCTACTTCCAAGACTGCGTGTACGACTATTGCTTCTTCCAAGGCCGACAAGCTGTGACATGCCAGCTTCTCACCAGCTACGCCGCAGCCTGCCAGGCCGCCGGGGCGGCTGTCTCTGCCTGGAGGAACAGCTCCTTCTGCAGTAAGTGCGAGCAGCTTGGCACCGCCTGCAGGGCTGAAGGGAGAAAAAGCGGCGTGTGTGGTTGGGGCAAAGATGAGCTGGTGGGTGGTCTGGGAAGGGGATTTGAGATGTTTCTGCCATAGCAGTAACAGGCTCCAACCCAGCCCAGGGAGGGGGGACTGGCAGGTTCGGGGTGGGCATAGGAGAGGCTGTGGGGCTTCTCCTTTCCAGGGGACATCAGCTGTGACATGGCCCTAAGACAGGGGAACTAGCTGGCTCAGGGGCGGGCGACTGGACTACAGAGTCTGTCCCCTGGAGGGTGTGAATTCCAACCCAGGCTCTGCGGGGGCGAGAAGTTGACTCGGTGCGGCTGGCTCAGGGAATGGGAAATGGGCCAGGATTTCCTAGGGGGTGGGTCTGGTGAAGGTCCTCACTGGGAAGTGAGCCCGTCCCGGAGCTCAGGCCAATCACTGGAACTCACCCGAGCTCAAGAGCTGAGCGGGCCGTGGAGACGGGGCTCCCCTGTGCCAAGGGGCCGGCAAGGGCACATTGGCTGGGCACAGCAGGACCCCCAGCCCCTCCCCCCCAGCCAGTGCCCGGTGGCGTTTCCCAGCCCCGTCTCCTTTCCTCTGTGTGGGATGCTAACGCCGGTTGTTCCACTGCCAGGTGTCTCCTGCGCACCAAACAGCCACTACGAGGTCTGCGCCCGGGGCTGCCAGTCGACCTGCAGCAGCCTCTTGGCCCCGGTTCAGTGCTCGGCTCAGTGCTGGGAGGGCTGCGTGTGCGACGAGGGCTTTGTGCTGAGTGGCGACGAGTGCGTCCCTATGTCCCAGTGTGGGTGCCTGCACCAGGGACGTTATTATAAGGCTGGGGAGACCTTCCACCCGACGTGCCAGGAGCAGTGTGTGTGCCGGGCCGGCGGAGACGTTGTGTGCACGGGGCTGTCCTGCCGCCCTAATGAGGAGTGCAAGCTGGCGAACGGCGTCCGGAAATGCCGCCCTGTCGGATCCGCAACGTGTACTGCTGCCGGAGACCCCCACTACCTCTCCTTCGACGGGGTCGCCTTCGACTTCCAAGGCACCTGCACCTACATCCTGGCCAAGACCTGCGCGGACACCGGGAACCTGACCTCCTTCGCCGTGAAGGTGGAGAACGTGCCCTGGGGCAACGGCAGGGTGTCCGTCACCAAGCTGGTGTCCGTGGAGGTCTACGGGCTCACGCTCACCCTGCTGCAGAACCGGAAGGGGCTCGTCATGGTAAGTTCTGCCAACGATGGGGCCGAACCCTGCCATGGCAATGCAAGGGCCACTTGTCCCACAGGTCAGTCATTCCAATTAATTCTCAGTAGGACTCAGGGTCTGATGGTGACCATACTGACACCACAGGCCTTTGGGTTTCCCTGGTAAAGTGAGACCAGAATCCAGCGCCCACCCCAGTGCAGCCAGTGGATGATTTAACATTAACCCCAGAAAGCTGAGATCAGAATCCTGCCCTGAGCCCCTTACACTGAGCAAAATGACTCAGGATTTACCTTGGACTCTAGGGGTATGTCTAGACTACAGGGTTTTGTCTAGACTACATCCAGGTCTGTGGACAAAGCCGCTTTGTCGACATAACAGTGTGGACGCAAAGGACAGTATAGATGCAATAATGCCTTCTATTGACAGAACTCTGTGAACAAAAGGCGTTATTCCTCGTAGAATGAGGTTTACATACGTCAACAAAACTCCTGAGTTTTGTCGATGTTATGTCGACATAACTCTAAGGCACTGTGGATGCAGGTATAGTTTTGTCGACAAAATCCTGTAGTCTAGACACACCCTAAGAGATCAGACTCTGCCCTAACACCCTAATTTGTGTCTGCAAACTCTGTGCCCTTTTATACTCTCAACATATGTCTTGACGCCACACTTTACTGGGGTGATTGGCTCTCAGGTTAGAACATCTGCACCGGTTACTCTGTGCTCGCTCTTTCTGCACTCGCCCCGGTGCATCTAGAGGCCTATCCCTTGGTTCTTTATGATGACACAGACTAGGATTTTCTCCCATTCCTACGACCTGGTTTACCAGGCCAGAGTCACTGTTCCAGGGAACTACCAGGGGCAGACGTGTGGCTTGTGTGGGAACTACAATGGGCGCCAGGACGATGAATTTCTGCTCCCTGACAGCAATCTGGCCCCCAACATGGCAGCGTTCGGGTCGGCCTGGAAAGTCCCGGTCCCGGGGGCGGCCTGCGAGGACGGATGCAGCAGGAACAGCTGCCCGGTTTGTGAGGAGAGGAAGAAGGACGTCTTCAAACAGCGCCACTACTGCGGGGTGCTCACAGACCCCAACGGCCCCTTCGCCGCCTGCCACGGCACGGTCAGCCCCAGCATGTATTTCAACAACTGCCTCTATGACGTGTGCCTGGCCAACGGGGACTCCCCGGTCCTGTGCCAGAGCATCCACAGCTACGTGACGGCCTGCCAGGAGGCTGGGGCCTCCATCCAGCCCTGGAGGAGCGCCTCCTTCTGCCGTAAGTGCCGGGATGCCGGTGTGACACAAGGCCCGTCTCTCCCACAAGGGGGAGGGGAAGTGCGGCAATACTGGGCATCTCACGTCAGGCCACTGGGCTACTTCTGAGACGCCTTTGGGTGGGAACCAGCAACTTCATGTGCTGCTCTAAGAGGGCCCTGGGTCTCTCGTCCCGTCTCCTCTCCTGGATGTCTGTACCTACAGCCCATGGGGTGAGATCTCTCCCCCCATCCAGTGCTTCTCTCTCTGTTTCAGCTCTGCGCTGCCCGGCCCACAGTCACTACGAGGTGTGCGCCGACCTGTGCAGCACCACCTGCACCAGGCTCACCGACACCAGGAAGTGCCCAGACACCTGCGCCGAAGGCTGCCAGTGTGACGATGGCTTCCTCTTCGATGGCCAGGACTGCGTGGCCCTGCAGGGCTGTGGGTGCTTCAGCAATGGGAAATATTACAAGGTACCACCCCCTTCGGGGGTGTTAACACCCACCCGCTCGCCTCCTCCATGCCCTGCTCCCATCAGCCACGTGGGACCAGACTGTTGTGACTTGCCATTGGCCAATGCCCGAATCTCAGTGGGACAGCAAAAGGCGCTCATGGGGCAAGACTGGTTGCATGGGCCCTGGCTCTGGGAGGGCAGCAAGCGACAGTGATTACAGCAGGGGCCTGGGAATCAGGACTCCTGCATCCTCTCCCTAGCTCTGGGAAGGCAGTGGTCTCGTCTGGAGTAGAGCAGGGGAGGGCTAGAACGTGAGAAACTCTATTCCCAGGAATGGCCCCAGGGAACTGAACATCTTCACACAGAAAACCTCCATTCACGGGGTAGCTTGTGTTACTTTTCCTCTTTTCACACAGCCTAACGAGACAGTCCTGACTGACGTGTGCCAGCAAAGCTGCACCTGCCTTCCGGCCCAAGGGATGACCTGTGAAGCCCACAGCTGCGCCAGCGACGAGGCCTGTCAGATAAGAGACGGAGTCATGCAATGCACCAACAGAGGTGAAAGAGAGCCCGAGAGTTACACAAGAAGGGAGGGGAACGTAGAGACACCGTGCCATTTCCAGGGGGCGCTCAGGACTGCTGAGGATCGGACCCACTGTCCAGGTTCCATCCTTAGGCGAAGGGAGAGAGTGCAGTCTAGTTGTTAGAGGGGGGTGGGATGTGAGCCAGCACTTCTGGGTTCTACTCCCAGCTCTGGGTGGAGTGAGAGAAGGTTGGGAAGGAGGCTCTGTGGTTTGGAGTTCAGAAGCAGAGAGGCTGGATGTGTCTGTTCACGTGAGCGGTGCACTGTCGTGGAAGGGTATAAATTATTCAGGAAGGGCAGTCGGGAGGAAAATGGGTGGGGCTCAGGGAGAGGAGTGCGTCGCACTGTAGGTAAGAGAGCTGCGTGATTCCTCAGAGTGCCATTAGAGCTTGTAGAGTGTCCGTGGGTTATGCTAATAGGTGGGCAAGGCTTTCTTGAGACCACGAGCAGAACCTTTCAGATCCAGGCCCTGCTTCCCATAGGGGACCTCAATCCCACTGGTGTCTGCTGGGAGACCGATACAGCAGTGCCCAGACAATCCAGGGTGGTTTTGGAGAACACTGGGGACAACTTCCTGGTACTCGTGCTGCAGGAACCAACCGGGGCCTTGGTCAGCTCGACCTGCTGCTCACAAACAGGGAGGAATTGGTAGCGGAAGGAGATGTGGCTGGCAACCTGGGCAGCAGTGATCACGGGATGGCTGAGTTAAGGATCCTGACCAACGGAAAAAAAGGAGAGTGCCAAAATACACACCCTGGACTTCAGAAAAATCAGACTTTGACTCCCTCAGGGAAGTGATGGGGAGAATCCCCGAGGATGCTAACATGAGGGGGAAAGCTTCAGGATGTAGCCAAGTTAGTCTGTACAGAAAAAGCAACAAATGATGGCTGTATTTTAAAGACACCAAATGACAGGTGCAGGAACAAACCATCCCGATGTGCCGTAAGAAAAGCAAATAGGGCAGGCGACCAGCCGCGCTTAGAAGCAAAACCCTTGGCGAGCTTAAACCAAACAATGAAGCTCCCAAGAAGTGGACACCTGGATAGTTGACTAGGGAGGAGTAGAAATCTATTGCTCGAGCGTCCAGGGGTGTAACCAGGAAGGCCAAAGCGCAATTGGAATTACAGGTAGCAAGGAATGTGAAGAGTAACAAGAAAGTTTTCTACAGGCATGGTGGTCAGGAAAAGTGGGAGACCCTTACTGAATGGGGGGTGCAAGCTAGTGATAGATACTGTGGAAAAGCTGAAGTACACAATGGTTTTTTTTTGGGGGGGGGAGAGGTTTGCCTCCCTCTTCACAGGCAAGATCAGCTCCAAGGTCAACTGTTGAGGTCCTACCGCTACCTATTTCCTTAATCCTACTCGTGCAGAGCTTCTTCAGAAGCCAAGGAATTTTCTTTTTAATCGTCCAATGTGCAGGGATGAAAGGGACCTGGTTTCTGCCTCTGGGAAACCAGCTCCCATTGACTCCTCTCTGCTGGCCCCACTTCTGACTGGCTTTGGTGGGCCAGCAGGTTCTGGAGGACAACTGGGCCTGTACTGACCCACATTCTCCTGCCACTTAGCCCTCACTCATGGACTACTGCCATTTCTTTCCTTGCAGATCCCTGCAAAGAGGTGAAGTGCCGGGAGAAGGAGACGTGCAAGGTCAAGGACAGCCTTGCAATGTGTGTGCCCAACTACTCTGGGACCTGCTGGGGCTGGGGAGACCCGCACTATCACACCTTCGATGGGCTGAACTTCAACTTCCAGGGCACCTGCACCTACACCCTGGCCAAGTACTGCGGGAGCGACCCCTCCCTGGTGCCCTTTACTATAGATGAAAAGAATGACAACAGGGGGGGCAACCAGGCTGTGTCCTACGTGCGTCTGACCAACATCTACGTCTACGGGCACAACATCTCCATCCACAAGAATGAAGTTGGAAAAATCAGAGTGAGTCCAAAATGCACACATGGTTGGAAAAGTCACATTTGGGATAAAACCTTCTCCATCCATCACGATTCGCATTTAGACACCCCTCTGTCTGACCCATGCATATCTCTCTTTCTCTCCATCCACCCCAGCCATCCGTAGTCACATCTAACTTCCCATCTATCGAACCGTGCATCTTCATACGCTTCTGTTTCTCTTGCCAAGCGTCCATCTCTATACAGGTCCATCCTTCGCTCTCAGTCCATCCCCATACACACCTCTCTTTTTCAGTGTTACCATCTACCCTCCCCATACTTAGTTATCTATCTCTGCTGGCTCAAGACCAAATCTTTTTTGGAAAATAATGTGTTTTTTCATCCACTCCATGCGCCACTCTTGGTCTTTGTTTCTTTTTCAAGGATTTCTGGTGAATCAGATCTTTTATTTTGAGAGAGAGAATTCTTTTTTAAATGAAATCTTAGAGAACATTTTCAGGACTGTCATTTTCAGGACTGCCCCCTTTCTGCAGTCACAAGGAGGCCATGTAAAGAAGAAAGATCCAAAACATCGACATTCCCAAAGAGAACTAATCAGTCCCGAAGTGAACCAATTTAAAAGCAGGTCTTTGGCCCTCACAAATCACGTGGGCAATCTTGTCTCCATGGTTCAAACAAGATACCTCAGGGTCTCAGAGAGCTCCCGTTCCCCCATTCTCCCCAGGACAGCAGGTCCCTCCAGACCTCACAGGCTAACTGACCCCGCTGCGGCTTCCACCCCAACAACGAATATCTGGAGCGAAATCAACTAATTACGAGGACAAACAACAATGAAGAAGTAAAACATTTTTTAAAAACCATACAACCAAAAAACTAAACTTGTTCATTTTGAAGCATTTTGACCAGCTCTCTCGGTCTCTTGCTCTCTTTCACAATCTCTACTTTTGGGTTTCCTACAGCTGGCTGTCATCGTGGTATTCAGCCGTCCTTTACCTTTCTCAATGCTAATCTTTCTGGTGAAATTCATTGTCAATGGATTTTGGAGTGAGGGAAAGGGGTTTCAAGCAATAGGGGAGAAACTTTATTAAAGGCAAGGATCTTGCAGTATTTCCTACAGTTGGCCAGACTCTAGATTTATCCAACCAGCACCGGAAATTCACTCCAGACCCAGGTCCCTTGGAGACAGAACGTTTTGTCCCTTAGCTCTCAAGCGCTCATTCTGGGCCCTCTCCTCTGTACTGTCCCAGAGCAGTGTGCCAACAGTTGGCTCTTTCCTCCTACCTCTAGATCAATGACATGAGCAGCAGCGTGCCAGTGACCCTGGAAGATGGTAAAATCAAGCTCTACCAGAGCGGTCTCAGTGCTGTCTTGCAGACAGACTTCGGTCTGCAGGTTTCCTATGACTGGAATTGGCACCTGATCATCACCCTCCCCAGCAGCTATTATGGGGCCACGTGCGGCCTTTGTGGGAACTTCAACCAAAACCATGGAGATGAAATGATGTCACCTACCGGCACCAGGGTCTCCTCCATCGTGGAGTGGGCCAGGAGCTGGAAAGTCACAGACCGGGACCCCTTCTGCTGGGATGACTGCAAAGGGAAATGCCCAGCCTGCGAGGAGGGCAAGCAGGAGATCTACGGGGGCGACGAATACTGCGGTTTGATCAGCAAAGCACCGGGAGGGCCCTTCAGAGAGTGTCACCCTAGAGTGAGCCCTGAGGACATTTTTGACAGCTGTGTCTATGACGTGTGTCTGAACGGGGGAGCCAGGATAATCCTGTGCCAGGCGCTGGGGGCCTACGCTGCCATCTGCAAGAAACAGGGCCTCACCGTCTATGACTGGAGGACACCGTCCGGCTGTGGTGAGCTCTGGGGTTTGGTTTCTTTATTGACAAAGGCAGCAATTACACTAGCCAGGCTGTTTACTCAACTGCTTGAGGAGATGCTGAGTGGGCTGAACAGGAGGGGCAGACGTCAGGCACCCTGGCGTCTGGACATCCTGGGGATGTGGGCATGAAAGGTCCCCGGCTAGATTGACAAGGGATGGACACCTGGCTTCCACGCAAGAGATCAGTGAAAGGGAGAGAGTCAATATATTATTAGGGTATGGATTAGATGCATAGGGAGATTAAATGCATTCTCTAGATGAACACACGGATTGAGAGGGATAAGATTATTTAGGGATGTGAAATATATTTAATGAAGGCTAAATGGATTAAATGGATAGAAAGATTAAATGGATTAAATCAGGGGAGAGATGGATTGGATGCACAGGGAGAAAACATGGATTGGGGGAAACATGAGAGGAATAGATGCTAGACTTATGGATGGATGGATGAATGAAATGGATTTTACCACTATGTCAAGAAAAGACAATCTCAAGTCCTCCCCTCCCTGTGCACTTGAATCCTGCTCTTCCTGTGCACTGCAATCCAAGTATTCTCGGTCAACTTGCAGAAACACATCCGCAGAGTGACTGTGTAGCCCGTTGGTTAGCATGGATGCATTTGTTGCTCTTGCTGGTACACGTAAGGAGGTGGTGAGAATGAATGACTTCCAATAAGGGGTCATCAGCATTGCGTAGGGAGGATGTAACTGATGACCAGAGGAGAGGGATGGATTTGGTGGGTGGCCTGGATGGAAGAGAGGGACGGAGCAGAAAGCGGTGGAAAGATGAGCCCCATCTGATATGGTACGTGGAAATGCAGGATCACAGCCCAGCAGGATCCATTTAGCATTTCCACTTCCGTGGTCTGGGTGCTGAGTCCCAGGCATTTGGAGTAGGTGGGGCTTTTAGATGAAGCCCCACAAGTGAGGTCTAATCTGCTCTGGGAGCACCTTGCCGATCTCTTTGGATTTTCTAGAGGAAGGGGGCACTGTCCCAGCTAGCAATCTTCGTGCCTGTGCTGTGCTCCAGACACGGCCTTACTGCGGCCAATTGTACATCAGGCCTGTGATTTCTTGATACTGTACACCGGGCCTGATTGTACATCCTCTGAACCAATAGACGATGCTGATTGTTCATTAGAATTTGTCTCTGGCTCCTGCTGCACCTAAGACGGTGTTTTAAGTCCATTTCCTGTGGTGTTACATCTCCCCCTCTCTGTCCCCCTCCCAGCCCTGCCCTGCCCTGACAACAGCCACTACGAGGCCTGCGGGGATGCCTGCCCGGCCAGCTGCTCCGACCGCACTGCCAACGCCTCCTGCCCAGAGCCCTGCGTGGAGACCTGCCAGTGTAACGCCGGTTACGTCCTCAGCGCCGGGCAGTGCGTCCCCGTGGGGAGCTGTGGCTGCGACTACAACGGCCACTACTACCAACCCAGCGAGGAGTTCTGGGCCGATGAGAACTGCCGCTCTCGGTGCAGGTGTGACCCCAGCCTGGGCATGGTGCTTTGCCAGGAGACCAGCTGCAAGGCCAGTGAGAGATGCGCCGTGGTCAATGGGGTCCGGGGCTGCCAGCCAATCAGCTACTCCACCTGCACGGCCTCCGGGGACCCTCACTACACCACCTTCGACGGGAAGAAGTACGACTTCATGGGCACCTGCATCTACCAGCTGGCGAGGGTCTGCTCCCAGGACCCCACGCTCACCCCGTTCAGCATCAAGGTGGAGAATAACAACCGGGGAAGCAAGACCGTGTCCTTCACCAAGGCGGTGACCTTGGAGGTGTATGGCAGAAACATCACTCTCAGCCAGCAGCATCCCCGCAAGATCAAGGTAGGGGCGGAGAGCCGCAGGGCTGCTTGGGGAGCTGGGAGCAGGAACTCTTGCTCTGGAACCGGTGCCCCTGATTTCCCTCCCCACTGCAGTGACGAGTCCTGCTTCCATTGCATGCTAGTGCTGCTGTAGGGGAAGTAACGGAGGGCCTCTTTGTGAAGCTCTGCAGCAGGCTTTTCTTCTCCCACTGTGTGCAGCTGAGCCAGGGTAGCTCCCTCCTCCAGCTGGAGATCTTGTCCCATTACCTTCAATGGAGTTACAGCCAATATCCACCAGCTGAGGAACTGGCCTATTTAGTCCAAAGGAGCAAAGGCCAATAACCTCCTCCACTGGCATCCTTGAGCCCAACTTCTAGGTTGTTCACATCCTTCCAGGAATCTGACAGTGGAAATCTGGAGTCAATTGCATTCACTCTGCCCCAGAGGGGTGAAAGTCCAAGGGCTGTCCTCAAGGAAACCGCCAATGTGGCACAAGGGAACAGCTGCAGCGCTTTAGTGCGCCAGTGAAGGTGCTAACAAAGCCCAGAGGAGACATTCTCCCCGGGCATAGGTAAGCCTCCTCCACAAGAGGCGCTAGCTAGCGTGCCGGGGAATCCTCCTGTCGATCCGGCAAGCTCTGCAGCAGCTGTTAGGTCAGTTCCACTGCACCTGTCAGGGGTGTGGAGTTTTCACACCCCTGAGTGACAATGGTACTGACCTCATTACTAGTGTGTAGAGCAGACCCTAGCGTAACTGAGAGTCAAACCATCTGCACCACGTGTGTCCCAGATGGGCAGCTTCTCGGTGAACCTGCCCTGCTGCGCTACTCCCATTGCCAGACCCACTGCCGAACCGGAGCCGGGGATAAAGCCCGGGAGCCCCAGCTCCAGCGTGCCAACCACTGCACCCCATTGTCCTGCCAGAGTTGAGGATACCACCTAGAGATCTTCATTCCAATTCCTC